GTATGATTTCAGCCCAAATTGCACTCCACTCAGTTCAATTACCATTATTAATCTTTGATTTATGTGTATTCAAACTGTTCCGAGCCACCATTTATAGATATCACCGCCCAACCATCCTATTGGCATCATCACCGATAAGGCTTCCACTAAAGCAGAGAAAATTTTAATATTAATCTGAGGCGGATAGGTTTATCTTTTATTACAGCTCCCTGCAATTTTTGTATCCAGACGACATACTGTTATATACAACTTTTAAATATCGTATTACATACTACTTCAGGCTTAAGACAACATTACACATAACGGGGGCCTCGCGCTTTCTTTGATTCCTGCTTCGGTTTTGAGGCACAGCTTAAGAACAATCTGCATTGCATTGCACACCTTTAGACGTGAATTTAGCAGCACGCGTGAGTGTGGTTATGATGAATTCTTAGCTGTGGTCCTCTGCGAGAGGAATGACCTACTCACTTCGGGCTCTATATGTAAAAAACACAGACTGGTTGAATTTGTATGTCCTTTCTTGATTAGGCTGCTCATCATATTGCACTGTGATGGAGCTCTCGTTCTTTCAGAATTAAACCCTAAAGAAACCAAAAATTACCCAGTTCAGCACATGAAACATCCTCTCTAGAAAGGCACGGGCGCACTGCATTATCGTTCAAGTGATGGTCAAATGCACCAACAACTCTTTGGAGAGGGGAAAAATGATGAACGTAATAATTACTTTTCATCAAAATAAAAAGAAATAAAGAAAGCACAGCATAGATTTGCATTTAAACAGTAAGACCAAGAATGAAAAAGATTGTAACGCTTCTTTACCGATGCTCTTTGCGCGAGTGACTTCTCTCTACATTTGGCGCTGCATTATGTCAACTGACTCAAGAAGGCAGATCTGTGTTGCAATCTCCATCTCACCTGGCCCTTTTCTTAACTTTACATAACTGTAATTCTTTACTTCTCGCTTTGCTGTTTACGAAAGTTTTATATATACTTGGTTTCCGATTTGCGAACAATGCTAGGACGATGTTTTCCTCTCCTTGTAACAAATTCTCTTCAGAACTATACTTGCGGCAGTAACCTACCCCAAACAAAGCGAGATTCTCGCTAGCTCATGCTCCGACTGAGACACAGTGAACCAATAATCATTGTATCAAGATAAGGTGTGATTAATATTGAAACTCATGAAGAAGATAGAATAACGGAAGAAAAGTACGACGAAGTGCTCCTCACCTGTCGTAGAACTGCAAGCTGCTGTAGAATCATCTCTTGACGTGCTGTCGGTACACGGTCTGGAGAAGCCTAAATGAAAAAAGGGTAGGTTTCCGTCATTATTTCTTTAAGACGCATGCACACACGAACGAAAAGTAAATATCTCTCCAAGAAATAGTCCAGCTCCTAGTACATGTACTTCGAGAGGTAATCGCGTTGAAGGCAGACCTCACCTGAATTGGATAAATGCCGGCATTTTCGTTTTGTATTTTTGTTTGGTGTCCTTTGACATCTCGTTTTCCGGCTTCTGTAGAATGTTGAACTATTTCATGTCTACTTCTCGGAGTAACTGAAAATTGTTTTCCTGTCTTTTCACTTTTAACAGTCTGCCGACCTTGGACAGCCTGGGTAGTAGTTGTTCGAGAAGTCACAACAGATTGCGCTTTCTTATGTGTTTGTTTATTTCTGTTCATGGGGTTTTGATCTTGACGAGAACTAACATTATCAGCCTGTGCTGAAGATGGAGTGTTTGGAACTGGATGGAATGTAGCACTAGCAGTGCGAGTGTAAGGTATCATAAAGGCATCCTCCAGGGGACGAGCCAGCTGTGCTGCTGCTGCACCATCCTCGTGTCCACCTGTTATATTTTTTACTGAACCTTGACGCTTGTTCCGTGGCTTAACTGCCTCTTTGTTTCTCTGTCCTCTTTCTGATCGTGACCGCGTAGTTACGCGAGCCGCTCCTTTAGCACGTGAAGGAGAATTTTTTTTCGTTTGAATCTTTGCCTGTGGATTGTTCCGTACAGAAGGAACAGGAGATGAAGAGATCCATTCTGATTCTAATGAGGCATTTAAACTCAACTGTTTTAACTCCGATTCAAATGAAGTATTCTCCTGTTCTGTTGAAGCAATGAGCATGTCATTCGTCTTTGCGAGTAATTCCTTGTGTTGCGGGATTGACCGGATGTGTTCTGGTCTGGGTGAAACAGAAGCGGTATCAAGATGAGATGTGTCTGTAGATGAATGTCGTTGCCTCAAGACCAGGCCAGCTATAGAGATCAATATAAAAAATCTTCAGTCAAAACTCACCACACCAACAAGAAAAAAACAATTCTAAATATCAATTGAACCACGCCGCTAAAAACGCTTGGTTCGTTCTATACCAGTGTTTCTCATTCAAGCATTCCTTTCTTTAAAACTTCCTTCAGATCAAATCGACATATCGTAGATTAAACACAACTTGTTTAGCGAAAACAAGAAGAAAGGACCGAAACTAGGTACGTTAAAATAACCGAAAACGTCAATCAAGGCCGGACAATATGACGGATTTGTATGATATCTTGATATTTGAACCTGTAAAAGATGCTCTTGTTTGAACTTGAATGGACATTACCCAACCAGAAATGAAGTGTTCATCTGCAACTTATTTGTCTCGTAATGTTACTACACATTTCCAGAATTGGCTACATCTATAAACAGCTTATATGATAAATAAATAAGGTGGTGAAAATTGACTAAATAATAGATTGAACATACGAGTCTTCAGTCCAGACACATCGTGACCGCGCATTTCCAACTGCTGGATCCTTTTGGCAGCTTTTTCCTGACGGAGTTTTAAAACAAAATAACTCTTGTTAGTATGAAGTGCAATAAGTAGGAGGTTTTTCAATAAAAGAACCATAAAAAAAGTTTAGAAATGCACATGGTTGTTGTGTTTAACTCGTGATAGCTTTTTATTAAATAGATATAAGAGATTTTGGTTTCAGTTGATAAGAAGATTAACAGGACGATGCGTGAGCACTTGTGGTCCTGATCACAACGAAGAGAATTCCTGAAAGAAATAGTTACAGCTAAAACAACGATTAATCCAAAGTTATGGAAGAATCCACATATTTCGAGCTGTATATAAATATTAAAACTGACAAAATAAAGTTGACGATCACATTAAAACTAATTATACTGAGCATTAAGGCGACAATCATAACAAACATACCAATCTGATAAGATAAACCCGTGAAGGGGTAGGTGGTGCAATGTCGTATTCATCATGAATTTCCCCTAGAAGGCTGAATTAGCCCTCGTAACAAAATCTGTCATGATTCTCCGGTATCAGACAGCGCTTTTTTTTAAGTTTCCCTTACATCACTTAATAGCCGTTTAATTTGGAGGGTATTGCTGTAAAAATTCAGAGAATACCTGTTGAGCTGTCTCGTACGCCTGCAATATACTTAATTCTAATGCCTCTGCTCGACGCTTTGCTTCATTCTAGAAGGCAATGAAAATGGTTAGAACTCATTGGTTTGAACTTACGAGACAAATCAGTGAATTGACGACAGAGTGTACACTTCCTAAAAAAAAGGAGGACGATATTAGTGCTATGAGGCGATCGTCCTGTTCACTGAATTAATGTCGAGTGAATGATTCATAAAAACTGACCTCTTTCTCCTCTCGTTGTCTTAGCTCCTCCTCATACTGTTTTTTCAGTCTTTCTCGCTCCATCATCAGCGTCCTTTCTTTCTCAGTCTCGTCTTTCAGTCTCCTTTCTTTTTCTTGCTGTTTAAGACGCCTTTTTTCTTCTACTTGTTCTTTTACTGCACGCTGTAAACATTCCAGCAAGCACATTTAGGCTCATAGGAACTATCTAACACTACCTGACAAAGACGTTAAGTCATGTAGGTTAGAGTCTTCGGTTAATATTAAAATATGAGCAGTCTGAAAACATAACGCCTCGTAATGTGAAACTTAAAGGTCCTTCGACTTATAGCATGAGTGGATAAACGTAACCTCATAGTGAGCAGATAGCAATTTTCATTACGTGTAATGTAAAACGTTGCAATATTGTTACATCCCTGCCGGTAATGCAATGAAATAGAAACAGCTCACAGAATTCACACAAATTTGGTCAAGCCACGAAAGAAACTCTCCCAAATAAGCCACATGCAACGAAATCACTTAAGTCAACAAGTGCATATAATATTTGTAAGTAGTACAACATAAAAAGAGGATTCATTCGTTGCGCGTGAATAAGTAGGAAATCTTTCAAATCAGTGACAGTACCTGATGTTCAAGTGTTTTCAGCCTCTTTCTCTCCATTTCATCTTGGTTCACCTCAACTAAACTCTGCAATCCTTGACCACGGGCATGATGATTTCCAGCCCTGTAAGACATCACATATTTTCCTTTTTAAGAACAAAAATGGCTCTCTACTTTTAGTTCCTCAAATGATTCTGGCAACTTTTTCTTCTAGTCTATGGATTTCACTGTTTAAATGTGCAGTACCTGAAACTACTGTCTAGTGGAGAAGGAGAAGCTGCTTCAATATGAATTTGCGATTGCTGTGTTGTAGCAGCTGTAGTGTTATTGACGACAAAAGTAGTAGCTGCCGGAGGGGACTCATTTGAAAACACCGCTGTTTGTTTCCACTTTTCTTCTCGAGCTTCCTTTTGGTAAATAGCAACACAGTCATGCATCAGGTTTGAACGCCGCAAAGGACAAATGAAAATTAAATACAATTATAATTCTCAGTGATAAACTTGTTTCTTTGTTGAAGGGAAGGTTGTTCGAAAGGTGGATAACACTATCCATTGGATAAATCTCTATCTGTTAGATACTGTTAAGTGCCCTTTGAACTACTTGGCCTAAGTGTACATGTGAAAGAGTAAGTATATCGTAGGGTACTTAAATATGATGATTACTGGTTGATTGAAGTCTCCAGGTTCACTGAATGAAAAGAAAGCATGTTTCTTTCTCACGGTGCATATTTCTTTTATATTCATACAAAAAAAAATTATTATGAATTGAACCTTCCCTCTAGTTTTGGGGGTCTAATGCCCTAACATTCAACCAATGTAATAAAAAATAGTATTATCTTAAGGTTAGATAGAGCTCCGGCCCTGCCCAAATGTGTCCTTGAGCAGTGGCAGGCACCTCCATGAGAAATGGTATGACTCAGTGGCATCTGCATTAACATTATACAAAGAGTAAAGATGCCAGAAATAGATCTTCCAATCATGTTGTAAGACATAATAAACATGATATCAATACCAATTATCATTTTCTTGAAATGGCTCAAGTATTACCAGTGTCAGGATTAATAATTTGATTATTTTGTGATTGGGCAAAATATGCTGTCATGTCTTCATAGCATGACTTTATATTAAGTTTATAACTAGAACTTACTTCTTAAGCTTATCTGGTAAAATAGGGGAGTCATATGTTGGACCCAAAAAAAGCCACTTTACCTTCTGTAACTGCTGCTGCTTTTCCTGAGTCTGTCTTTCTTTCTTTTCTTTGATCTGTTGTTCTGTACAAGATATATGACAGTTTAATTGAAATCGCCATTCTTCATCAAGAAATATCAAATAAAAATCAAAAGCTGCAGCAGTTTTGAAAAAAATATTCAGATAGACCATCAAGAAAAGAAGATATATTCCATCATCATTCTGTTCTTACCAAGATCCTGGAGCCACTTTTTCTTTTCATCAATTTTACACTGATACTCTTCATACTTTACAACTCCAGGAGCCTAATCAGGAAAAAGTATGCACAAATGCACAGACTTCAGTGCAGATGTATGTTGTAACTGACTGACAGAAAGACCATATGAAAAAGTCCTTAGAAACCAATGAACCACTACAATGTTTTAACACCAATAAATTATGTGAACTTTACACTGATTACAAAAAAAACATTTAGGTAGAATTCTCACCCCAATGGCAAATGAACTTCTCATAGCCACAGGAGTAGTTGTGGTGTTAAGGTCATGTGTGTTATAACTGTGTGCTGTTGTCTTTGTCTTGGAGCCACTGTCAAACTCTGGAGCTGACATAACACTGTCTTCATCCTTAGAGGTCAAGTCCTATAACAAGTTAAATCAGTCTTGTAAATTGGATTGACTCCCTATTACATTAAATGGGGGTAGCAATGAACATCTGACCTCTAACTAGTTGATGTGAAATTTCTTTACAACTCCTATTATTCTCAATCTGTACACTCTGTGATTCTCAATTGTTCTCAATCTATACGTAACTAAGTGTAAATTAAAGTCTCCAAATCAGAATAAATTGAAGACATTTTGTGCAACTTTAGTATACATTTACCTGATGCATTTTCTTGTAGTCAGCCACTATATTTCCAGATTGAGTTCTTACTGGAGCTCCTCCTCCAGGTCTGCCCCATGGATTATATTCTTCAAATTCATTATCCTTATCCTCGATTAACAGAAGAGCAAGGATAATCACTTGCCTTTTCATTATTAATTCACAATTATTTAATTGTGTTCAATAAATTCTGGCCAAGTACTAATAATACTAATAATAGTACACATTAAAAATAATGAACTTGATGTCACTACTGAAAGTATTGTAGTATTCAATTAATGTTAGCATTGTAAATATTATATTAATTTCATGGGCAGTTCATTGTTAGTAATGTTTCCTAAGAGATGTATTGAAGGTAATGTGTTGTAATTACTAATGTATGTATTGTAACTAATGTATGTTGTTGTAAATAAAGATTTATAAAAACAAAAACGAAAGCAATAAAACTGGTATCCAAGAAATTTAGAGGGTGACACTTCTATGAATAGTACACACATTATATAGAGTAAAGGATTCTATCCATTTAGTGATCAGAAAGACCCTTGGACCATGATCTGATTCAAGAATGACAAGAAGAAAGTGCATGTAAATTGGATGACAATATGCATATAATACTAGTACAGATAGTAAATAAAGATACTTGTGATGTTAACAACAACAAAAATTATTTGTAATCATAAACTACCCTAAGTATAATTCTATCATTAACATATTCTGATAACACCAACTTACCAGTAACTTTCTTTTAGCTTTTAATTCCTGTTTGAGGGCTATTTGCTCATCTGTCATCACAATATAAGGACATTTACAATTTAAAAGCATAAAAAGGTTTTTGAAAACATGTTTAGCAAACAAACCAAGCTATTTAGTAAACAACTTCCACTGCTTAGTATTTCTAAAAATTTCAAAGCTGGCACATATGAGAAATTTAGTGTGGAAATTAGTCCTGGACAGTTAAAGTTTTTCTCTAATTCACCATGTGATTGGTCCATATGACCTTTGCCACCTTCAGCTGCAATAATAAAGTCAATTGTGTTTTGGTCACTGATATTTTCCCATACTTAATGCTGTTTGCCTTTTTAGCTTTCATCAATTTTTCATACATTAGGCTCTTTGTGATAGTTTCCACTGCTCAAATTGGAAGCAATGTTTACTTTACCTTTGCTTTAATGACACTTGACTAAAATCTGTTCTCGTTACATGCTTCAAATTGCCAGTGATACTGAACAAGTCATACTATGCCATGTATTAACTTTATTACTAGACATACCTAACTCCTTCTTCCACTGCAAATTTTTGCTGAGAGTAATGACCTACACAGAAAAGGAAACACTACTTATAAGTTATGCATAATGAAAGCTAAGCTGACTACTCTAACTGCTCAGTGACATGCTATTTCCCAGCAATGAGAGATCAAGTTGCCTGACTTCAAACCTAGAATCCTTAATTGGTCCCCAGATAAAAAAAGGCTAAGTTGCCAAAAAAAAAAAAAAACTAAAACTAAACAATGCAATGTAGAACTAAAAAATATGGAATGAGACTGAATTTGTGCAGTATAACATAGTAACCAATTACAATGCTTCTAAAATATACTACATGGGAGAATAAACTTAACATATCGTGGCCAAGATGGCGAGAAAGAAAGTATTTCTGAACATAATTGATATCTAAGAATTGATATAATTGATATCAAATAATTAATCTATTTTTTCTACTTCATGCCATAAAGATGAAGTAATGTAAACTTATTACAGATTTCTTCGTGTCCACCAAGAGCAGGTGACCACATTGGAAAACTAACCTGCAAATTTAATCACCAAATTTTTTCATAATCCCTGTAGTGACCAAATTGGTCACAACTTGGAGTGCTGAAATTATTTAATTCAAGTTTTGATACTGCAACTATAGTTATGTACATTTTCAAGAATTAGTTATCAAATGAATATTATAAATAAAATACCTTACAACTTTCTGTCATGTTAAAAATTATCCTTAGTTAATTATTTTGTTAATTACTGAATTACTGTAAAATTATGACCTTGAACTTCAGCCTTATCACCTGACAATGGTGATGCCTAGCAGTAGGCAGTTGAAACATCAAAAGTAACTACACTGTGATACAAACAATAATACACAAAATAATAAACATGTATTTACCTGTTCCTGGTTATCAGAAATATCATCTTCGGTTTTGGATTCTGATTTCTGTACCCTTCTCCTGATAAGAAATTTTATGGAGAGATATCACAGATTTGACCTAGTTTTAAATAAATTCCTCCTTTGAAGCAAAGTGTGCAATAATTGAAACTCTTATACAGGTTGCATTTACATTCCTATTCATAGTCACATGTTTGTAAAGATGAAAGATAGTATTAAAGTGCTTTGCATCTTCTTAATAATTAATTTACCTTGTTTTATTGTCTCTCATTGATGGTTGATGAACTGCTATTTGTTCTGCAGCACTTTCCATTGACCCTGTTACTGAGTTGATATAAATCAGTTCATATACAGGTATATAAATGTATTGACATTGTTCCAGAGGAATTCAGCAACTTGGTGGGGGGTCACTATCATTTAATGTTCATCTTAGACAAGTTAAATCATGCACCAAAGGAATAAATTATATGAATTATATGTTGCACATTCAATTTGCGCTGCCATTTCATTATCAATGGTAGAAATTGCTTAACAACAACAAAAATTGGTGCAGTCAGTAACATGCTAACAGTGTAACTATATATAGTGTTTCTTCTTACATTTGGATAAATACCTTTAAGTTAGCTATTAGATAATCTGTATTTTATTGGTTAGGACACCTTTGACCGCAGTCACATGATTATCCTTATATATCGTTGTATCTAATTAAGTTTATTGTATTCTTGTAAAGCAATTGTGTGGAGCACTTGGTCTGATTCACACATTACTCTATAGTTAGTATATCAAACCATAATACACAACATTATGCAGCATGGGAAAGACAAAGAAAATCCCTTCTCTCTCTTAAGATCACACAACATCAACATAAACAGCAAACAGACTGACCCGTATATGTGTTTTCAAGATCTGCTACAGGCTCATGCTCAGTGTCTGCTGATTTCAGAGATGACAGAATTCTTGACAACTGGTCCTTTGTCAAGTAACTAGCATCTGTAGGAGGTTCATCTTTTCGGATACTTTGACTTTTTGTTAGTTTACCATCAGTGCCATCATTATTTTTCTGTGGCTTGGATGAGGACTTTGCTTTGCCATCTTCTCTAAAGTGGTTTGTCTTGGGAGGAAGAGTGCGAACTTGAGAGGTTCTTCCTGAGAAACCTTTTGAGCTTTGTCTTCCCTTAAAAATAACAACAATCAAGCAAGAGCAGCTCAATTGTGTCTTGATCTGAAACTTTTTGAAAGAAATTGCTACATCAATTTTCAACTTTCTGTGGCACATGTGGTACACACAATAGTTTCAAGTACACTGGATCCAAATATTCTTTAAACATATTAACATGACCACATTGAACTACAAAAGGAAAAAAATTGCATAACATTTCATGATCTTTTGAGTATCAAGAACAAAATGTTTGGTTTCAGAAGATGACACTCCTTTAACAAGCATATACTGTCAAAGCTTGAGACTATAAGATCATTTTACTACCAGCAAATGAACATTTCAATACCTTAGCAACTCTTTCCTTAGGCCCCGTTTTAAATAAACTATCTGTAATGAAAATAAAAGCTAAATTAGCAACTTACAGAAATTACTAAAGTACAAAGTCTCAGGAGATTTTATTTTCTGTCAACTGATTGAAATATATTCATAAACAGAAAAAAATTACATATACATGGACTTACATATATTAGTACATGGGATGTTAGTCATCACCAAAAGTGCAAAAATATGTAGTTGATCTTGAGGACTAGAGGTAAATGCACTTCCATAGGACTCAAATACCAGAAAAGCAATCCAGAATCATACCAGAAAAACTGTTCAATCAGTTACCTATAACTGCTAACACAACTGTTCAAATAACTGACTCCGCCAGGCTACTTTAAAAAGCATCTCCAAAAGTGGCCCAGTAATCTATAGTCATGGCTTTCCCCCTAGTCGATGTTGGGATTAATGACATCTGATCAGCAAGCGTATCGTCTACAGTATATGACAGTGACAATAACAGCTGTCAATGCGTCAATTGATCTCTCAACTCAATTAGAGAGAGAATGAACCTCAACATTGAGAAGGGATCGTGGTGTACCATCAATACTTATCAGAGTAGTTATCAATGAATTGACAGTGTTCGCAAGGTTTTCCTATGCCATAATGAACAAGGTTGTAATTGAAATTTGACGTTGATCTAAGAGTGATATAAATGAGGTCTTGAAAGATTCGATCAAAATCGTGGAAATAAACATTTAATAAAACGGTAAATACTCTGACCTTCATTCAAAACTATATCGAGCTTGCCCTTGTTAGTGTTAACTTTTAGCCTGTGAAGAAAAAAAAATAAGCAACAACTGACAACATCTCTTAAATCAAACCGTGTATGATATTTACTGTTCTAGATTGAATAAAAAAAAGGACTTTTTCCGCGATATTGGATAGGTTAACTACTTTCTACATCGGTCTCCCTATAATTTCTTACATCTCTTAGTCCAGTTTGGAATTGCAAAATGACCAAAGTATTTGTTTTGGTTTAGCTTCGTATAATTTCATTTGGTCGCGAGGGTGCCATCATTCAGTGCCTGTCTTCTATTGGTCAGCGGTTTTAAACGAAGAACAACTTGTGTAGTGTTAAAATCTTAAAACGCACATGTTCTTATAGTCAAGTACATAGTTAATTTAGTATTATTTGAGACTCCATTTGAAGCCAAGAAGAGCAAGCTTCTATTATGAACGCACACGCAAGTGAGTACGAGTTACAAAGATTAAAGAATATCAATGAGAACAAGAAAATACTTGAAAGTCTGGGGCTTGACAAGTTTGAGGTATGATAGTGTAGCTGCATAACTGCGCCCTATTCACATCTATTAGGAATATTATGGAGAGTAATACTTTTTCCATATAAAGGTCTCTCAGGGCTTTAAAATATGGATATTTCTAGCAGTTTTTATAGCCAGGGAATATGTTTAACAACAGCACCCTGAAGTAAATCCGTCTTCACATACTGTAAATGAAGGGCTAGCTTGCGGTTGTGAGGGAATTTTATGCGGCTGAGCCGCGAAAGGAATGGGAAGGAGAAAATTTAGAATCTGCCTGAAGCAATCCTGAAGGTTGTGGAGTCTTATCCGCCCACAGGGAAGAGTCAGGAATTCCCATATGTCTTGGTAACCCTCAAGGGAGGCACAAATAAGGTAGTAAATCGAAAGTTAACAATTTCAACAGATATTAATGCATTCCTGTGTGCATAATGAGCAGAGATTTAGCTGGCACATTTATTTAGTTAATAATTCTTTCTGGCTTGATTTTTTTTCTAACAAGCCTGAAATTTGTGTCATTTCATGGTCTTTCCTGCTATTGCAGATCTCTTTTTTTCACAAACTCTTTTGTATGGGCCATTTATTATTTTTAAACTTTTACCATTTTACAACCCTTGATGGAGACATGTGTACTCTGACCTCTGTTCACTTGATTACTTGATTATTTGTTTTGTGCTGCAACAAATACAAACCACTAATTTACGTTGCTCAGTTACAAGAAAAGAAAAAATAAAGTGGAGTGGCATGAGAGAGGAACAGAACTTTTGTCCTAATTGAGACCTAACCCCTAAAATGCTGATTGGATGAGGCAGAGAGCTTTTTCCCTTAAATTTGGTAGTTGCTCTGGGCAAAGTAACTTCAAATTGAAAAAATTAAAAATATCATTCTCTACTTTTTCAAGCTTTCATACATTGTAGACTTCTACCTTCCTTGTATGATATAGGACAAAAAAACAAACTGTATTCAATCCTTAACCCAGTCTCATGCAATATTTGGTGTCTTCTCCCATATGTATAGGTGATGAAATATATAGCCTGAGTTTATAAACATTTTACTCCTGTAGTCTTTCACTCCAAGACCAATAATAAAGAGGCCATTACAGACTAAGGGTGTGAAGAGGAAGAGGGAACAGGCAAAAGATAAAGGTTCAAAAGCTGATGAGGAATTCAGTTTTGTGGATAAAGATATCAGATATCGACTCAGATCATCACGCAGAATTAGAGGACAGGTGGAGTAGTTTTGACAGCGGACCAATTGTCAGGGGGGGGGTGCAATAAGATATTACATTAAAAATAAATCTCTTTGAGATGTGCGACTCTCTACATGTTGCTAAGCCAAGTCAATTTTTGTTTTAAAGCTAAGCTGTAGTGTATATTATGTCTTTGAATATTTGGATCATGAACTTGGGAGCTTGTTTCAATGTTCTTAAGACTTTAATGTCCATTCCTTTTAAACATTTTTACTTTTCATATAGAGTTTCAAATAGTCTATCTTGATCAAAGAAAAACAAAAGTCAGTTAGTTATAGGGATGTCATTTTGTCTACCCTCTTCAATCCACGACCCCAATCTTTTTCATTAGGAACCAAGCAATCAGGACTTAAAGAATTACAGTTTTGATGATAGTGATTATGATACCCAGGAATACAGGAAGCCTTTAAGAGTACCAAAAAATAGAGAAAATGTCTTTGGAGAGATTCCAGGTAACTTGCAAACATTTTATAGAATTATTGGGAATTGACCAATAAAGGAAATATTGTAAATCTACATTTATGCCACTTATATAAACACAAAATGCATTGTAGACACAAAGAGTACAATTGTAGTTAAATGTACATTTTTCAGATTTTATTTTCTGTTGTTTAATACTCTCTCCTTAATTCACCTAATTATTTGACATTTCAAAAGTTTCAGCTAAGAGATTTATTGTGGCTTTCAATTGCTTGTAACTGACATTAACTGATGTGTTTGTTAGGTTGTCCTGTGGGAACCTCCTGGGATTCAAGACTCGCTTGCTGTATTGATGGTGTACATCGGTGAGGAAGTCATTATGGTTCTTTTAACATACTGTAGATCATCACGACTCTATTTAAAAGAAAAAAAGAGTAAGAACATACTATGTATCACTGCCCATTGATAAATTTTACCAGTATGACTCCTAAATTGGTAGAAACAGTGTCTGATGAGCAGTTGAAATTTACTGTAAGTTTTTGCAGATGATGTTACTATTGCATACTCAATGCAGCAGACACAGGGTGTTGTGCACTGGAGTTTGGGGAGTGTCAACCACAGTGTAGGAATCAACAACACAAGTCGATTCAACATTGTTTAAAAAGGGAAATTGAAATGTACAAGATCAAAAAATGAGCTAAGACTAATTACAAAGCAAGCGAGATCAAAAAGAAAAGGAAACTAAATACAACAGGCTGGAACTTAAGTCTGATCTTGTCTTTATGGGCTTAGAGGAACTGCAATGTTACATGACTAGAACAGTCTTGTGTAAAAAGAAACTCTGATCTATCTCCGTTGATCTCCAAACTCCAACTGACTTGATACTTAAGGAGCATACCACTATAAGGGTATAGCTCATGTATACAATTGCAAACTGGTTTATCAGGAATGCAAGCCAAGTATGTAATTCAAACTGTGAACAATAGTACACTAGGAAAATTGGAAAACTGTAAACTCGACAAAGAAATACAACAGAACTTTTTCCCTACTTTAAATCACAACCAAATGATTATGTAATCAAAGTCTTCTTTGAATGTTCATTACAGTTACTGTCAATTAAGATCAGAGTATTTTAGACTAGATGTTCATGTACTGTATCTCTGGTCTTAGAATACCATATTTAGCCACAGTTTTGTGGCTACTTTTTCTCTTCTCTAAAATTCGATACTGACAGCTGAGAATACTGTTGGTGTTGGTGTAAGACTAGATTCTATTAAAATAATTCAGCAGTGTATTTGTTTATCAACTTAATGCAGGCCAACAGTAGCTGGTATTCATGGGAGCGATGAAGGATGCTACTCACTTGCTCTGTCTGGGGGATATGAAGATGACCTTGACTATGGAGTCTGTTTTACATACACTGGAGAAGGTGACAATCTCACTCTACTGATGCATGACCTAGAGCAGCAAATGACTTCCTTTGGACCTCTGATAGGCTCTTTACAAACTAAGCACAGGCAGAATTCTGTTTAATTGCATGATATGTAATTTTTGTAAGATTGTAATCTGATGCTTGGCATGTCAAGACAATTTTCAATAAAACATGAGATGTCATGAATTACTTATTAACACTGCAGTTCACATAAATTGTAAGTTAGCATTGATTTACAACAGCTGTGATCAGACTTCAGCCCCAAGGATACTAAGAAGAATCATTTATCTGAATTCATTGTGTCAGGTCATTAACTGAAAAGTGAATTTGGAATGTTTTCTTCTTGCAGGTGGAAGAGATTTGAAAGGCACAAAAGCTAATCCAAAGGTATTGTCTAAATTTGTGCGAAACTTGTTATTATTTACTGGATATCCCCTTTAGTGATGACTAAACCACATTTTTGTGCTTGCTTGCATAATTTAACTTGTAGTCTTTAGTCTCATGAGTTACATTTGTCATGTTTATCAAATGGTTTTTACCTAGAACACATCAGAGAAGATAGAAGCAACCACAGATTGCTGGCATAGCTTTTGGCTATCCTCCCCCCTCCCTCCCCTGTCTTCCAGATGGGATGCTATAAATGAAAAGGGTACTATTGTTGTTTTCACTATTCTCTGCTATTTTTGTAGAACTTGCGTACTGCTCCTCAATCCAAAGATCAGTGTCTGTCCAGAGGTAATGAAAAATTGGTTATATGTATAATTTCCCTGTCTGTGTCTTAAGGTGTCTTTGAGATAGTAGAATTATCATATCTGAACCAATGCATTTTGCCAAATTATCTGAAATAATGTGAAGCTGAATGCTTGGCCTTTATGATCTCTATGTGATTCTCAATATCCTTTTTGATGTTGTTTCTCCACTATGACCTGCATTACTGTAACAGGAAATTTAGCATTAAGCAGGAGTGTTGAAAGTGGGAAACCTGTGCGTGTTATCAGAGGATACAAGCTAAACAGCCTCTATGCTCCAGAAGAAGGATACAGATATGATGGTAGGAAGTTCCTGCAATGATCCTGACCCAGTGATAGAGAGATAGTCTATTAGAGAACAATTGCAGACCTACCAGTTTTTATAGTTCACATTTTTTTCTAGCCAAGCAGTCATATAGCACTTGAAAATTTAGAGGATAAATAGGGCACTAGAAAGCCTCAAGTTTTCACCTAGCATGGACTTTTACTCTCTTTTGATGGACTAAGTCAAGAAAGGGGCAACTGCACCTATAGTCCATTTTTTACCCCCTGGTATCCAGCTTCACTTGGTGATCAAGGTTTTCATTGAATTACGTAAACACATTCGAACCTCCCTGTCATTCTTTTGTTATCATGCTAGCTTAATTATTTATATAGAAGCTGTAATATTTTCTTTTATTTCACATTACACGCATTTCCCACATATTAACCTGTTGGAAACAGCTAGCTATGGTTTTTTTGCACATTTTAAAACAGCAGTCGAATAATTAGGTTAATTTTTGCATCGCAACTGAAATTGCAGTTTGTGCTAACTTTATTTATACTTAAAAATGGCAGAAAATAGAATCTTCCGATTTCTGGAGCTTTCTTCTGCCTTAGGACAGAGGTATCCGTGGCATACAACGTATCTTAAGTTTTGATAAGAAACAAGAGACATGGATACCTCCCGATTTGCAAAATTCAAATCTCAACACTGTCTTTTATGAACACTCACAGGGTACGGTCTGTGGATTTGACTTACTGCCTCAATCAATTTGTTAATGATTTTACCTGTTTTTAATTATCTATTGTAGGACTTTACCGAGTTGTTAAATATTGGCAAGCCTGTGGATTAAGCGGCTTTATGGTTTATAAATTTGCCCTTAAAAGATGCGAGGGACAAGCCCCGCCTCCTTGGGAACAAACAAGTGAAGACTCCGGATCAGACATCAGTGACTCTATAAATGGCTCTATTAACTGAGCTTTTGGTTATCTTTAACTTATATTTAGGAAGTTTTTTTTAGTCAGTGGAGATGTTCAAAATTTACTCTTTTTATACGCTTTCAATATTTCTAAATATCCAGGATTTATCGATGACATGCCAGTTAATGGACCAGCTTAATTTATATTATTGCAATAAAGTTTTGAATAGATTCGACATGAATGTTAAGGTATTAATGGGAAGGGGTGAGGCAAAATCAGAGTGACTTCGTCGTTGTTAGGAGGGTAACTTTATGTGGCGAAATGGCAAACTCGAGGTTTAGGTGGCTATGATCGGCTACGAGTTCAGCTATGTTCATTACTTGTGTTATCAAAAATTACAAAAAGACCGGCGAAGCTACTGAAGTACTGAAGCTGCTTGGAGTGCAGTTCTAGCTTAAACCACGTTGTGCTGACAAGCTGTACACAAACACGTTACCACGTAGGTGTACTAGTTGATCGACAGAGTTGCTTACTTATAACTGTATCCAAGTATGTTCAACCGTTAAATTCCATTTTCCAGTTGAATTGTGAGGTCAACATCTAAGATGTCTTCAATTTGCGACGCGATTTAGTGTATCTGCTTGGTGAACATGCCAGCTTTGAACAACAAACAGCACGTGAACCCAAAAATAACCACTGCTTTGGAACTGAATACCAACGGGCCCAGAAGGTGAGGACGAGTGCTCATTGGAACGAGACCAAAGATTGGTTGGCAGATGTTGAAGCCGGCACCAAAAGGCTGGCGGACGTTGTAGCTGGGTGGAGGGCATTGACTGCTGTATGCATCCATTGAATCGGGACCATCCAAGTCTTAGTCTGAGCGAGAGATTGGCACTCGCATACACAGAGAACGTTTGAAAAACTCTCTATCGTTATTAGTTCAATGTTGTCGCGTCAAACAATGCATTTTTGGTCATAACCTTTTGACTAGTAATTATGGATTCGTGATGTTGGGGTTGTATGCACTGTAACCCTGCGAATCATTCGGAAACGGAAATGTTTTCATCCGGGTTCTGCGTGTTCAGGGAACAGAGAGTCTGACTCAAACACCGGATGGATAACAGCGGCTGTAGTAATATCACCTGTCCTTCAGATATCATAGCACAGTACGAACAGCGACATCTACATGGGATTGTAGTTTTGACCATTGAGAATAACTGGATGTAGTTCGGTGTCTGGTGGAACACTGCCTTAATTTTTCAGTCGTTTGGAATTTGATTTTTATTCTCATATTTTGGTACAATCACATGAGTATGGAGTTTTGATAATAGTTAAAGGTGAGTGACGAAAGTTGATGTTGGGCCTTATGTAAATCAGACCTCTCGGTATCATGATGAATCCTCAGATTTTCGTGGAAGAAAAGCTGATGGTAAGGACTTAATACGCAAAATAGCTCTAGGTTTTTTTTCTCTGTTGTATTCTATCCTTTAGTGAAACGTGGAGGACCCCCTTAAATCCAGAGTTCTTTTACACGTAGTTCTTTTTTTTGGTTAAAAATGAACGTAGAGGTGCAGGCTCAAAAGAAAATGCAAATGACAAAAATTTTCAAATAAAGGAAATTCCAGACTAATAAATAATCTGGGAAAACATAATGACAGGAATTATCTGGAGAGGAATTTATAGCAGAACTTGTTCAACCCCCACCCAGTGTAAGTGTTCCCGATGACTTGAAAACCAGTAGGAGGGTCCGAGCGGTCAGCGGTTAACTACCGCAGACAGTGGTTTATTTATACAATATAACTTTTTTAGGGATTGTGCAACCAACCTCTATCCCTGCCCACTGAGGTATGGCTGAAGCAATGGGAAGCGGCGGAGATAAGATTCTCCGAGAAGCAGTTCGCCAAAATCTTGATAGGTGGCTCACAAAATTAGATTGTTCGGGAGATGTCGAAAAAAGGTTGGCGTTCAAAATGAAGTTCGTGGAGAAATTGCGAGACTCTCCGGTGGCTATTGAGACTGCACGAGCGAACGAACAACACTACGAAGTACCGACTGATTTCTTTCGTACGGTGCGTGAGCCTCTTTACTTTCGATATCGGTAACTTTTGGGCAAAAGTAAGCATTTAAACCCAAACAAGTAGTAGGATTGAGGTGTATTCAGACTTGAGGTCGAAGGTTAAAGACAGAATGATGTAATTGATGGTTGCTGG